GAAGCCGTTAATGTCTCATGTCAGAAAAGATGTTTCAGTCCACCTTGAGCTGAGGGTAGATCTGGCGGATCATGCTCAAGTTGAGGGCGTTGAGGACTTTGGGTCTGTTCATGGTGATCACAGCAGCTCTGCCTGCTTTCTCCAGGAGAACCTCTGGTTCCACGTGACTCGACATCTGGAAGGAAACAGAATTATTTCACCCTCATGCTTCATGACCCGACATCACTTTATATTCTGAGCTCAGGGGGCTGGAGGAAATATATTTAGTTAATTTGTTATGATAATTTCCTCAGGTCCACTAACTCCAGTTATATATAAACATACCAATGTTTTGTTTTTTTTTTGTTTTTTTTTATTTAGAATTTTTCTTTGAGTCATTGTATAAAAAAATTAACAAATATAAAAGCAAATATTCTGAAATCCTGAATGAAAGGGAACAGAAAGAAGAATAATCTAATATCATCTGCTCCCTTTACTTAAAGCAACAAATTTACAAGGAACTCAAATTATGCAAGACTCAACAACAACAAAAATAAGCATCAAAACATACAAAACAAATAAAGGATAATGAAAATAAATATTTGTTCTCCAAAACTTTAGGTCTATTTTCTGTATATTCTTAAAGCATAGAATTGATTTTATGCTGATTCCTTTCACAGAAACACAACACTCCATCAATTTTGTACTAAATTTGGATTTCCTATTATGCAAAAACACTTTTAATCGTGATTTAGATGCTTTACTTAATCCTTTTTTAGAATAAAATAAGCCAAATCAACCCTAGCGATGAAAATGCAGCTGACTTTTCAACATGGATGGAGACTAAAATCCTCTAAACCATGTTTTCTGTCTCCTAATTCCCCAAACTAGGTTTTTCTTTCTGGTAAAAGGTTGTTTTTCTTTCCAATATTATCACATACTTTCTCATAGTTAGGGAATGCTGCAAAGCCAGCAGGCCTCCTTAAATAATGACATCTGAAACTGATCCAATCTGGATTAGACTGATTTTATTATTTAACCAGTCTTTATGATTGGGTCGTACTGGTTTTCAACTTGTTCCCTAGAGATGACATCTGTTGCTTCTTATCCATATATAGGCATTATTATTGCAACTGCAGATATATGGAGCCCTTTAATAGAACTATAAAAAATGTTAACAGTATTTTACTCTAGGGATCTAATTCTTCCTACTCAAGCTCCAGTTTATGATAAACATGCATCAAAGTTTCAAACTCACACTTTTTTAGTCTTTTTCAACAAACATGTCAATCAGTAAATTGACCAATAATCTGATGAAGGTTGGGAACAAATGTTTTTATACATTAATCTTGTTCTTCATTTTGCAAATAATTGTTTTTTAATGTGAATTGGAAAAAAAATTATACAATATAGAATAGAACTTTACTGATCTCAAATTCACTTGTGACATCGGCTCTTATAAACAAACAGAAGGTGAGCAAAGGAGGAAAATGTGCATGAAGTATATGCAGTGCATCCATGATGATGAAGGTGATGATGAAGCATAGTTCTCAGAGAGAAGCTTGAAAGATCAGAAGCGGGTCATTAAAGCCTGATCTGTCCATCCTGAGCTGAAACTCACCATGTGAGCCTGGATCCGCTGCAGTCTGCAAAGAGGCTTTAGTCTGAAGGAAACAGTGAAGAGAAAGAATGATTATTAAACAGGTGGCACACTAATAACTGTGTTACTGAATTGCTATTTTTTTTCCTTCTTCTTTTACTTCTTACATCAGCTAAAGGACTTTACAACCCAGGACTCATTATTATGTGAATGGTAAAGCTTGAACCAACAAACCTGAGAGCTATTCTAACCTAACCTTGAACCTGGTCCTAAAATTAGCTGATAGATTTTATCTCCTGTCTGCCTGAACCTTGTGACCTTTTTACCATCTTTTCACAATGACCCCTGGTGGTGATATTAAGAGATAATGTACAGAATCAGGTGTTACATTTTGTGCATTAGTTTAAAAGTTTAGGGGGACGAGACGTAATCAGAAAATATTTTGGCTGCTCCAGACTGACTGGATGATCTGCGATGCTAAGCTACATTTTACACTTTAAAACGTTTGTGTTTTTTTTTCTGGTTTTGCGGGTAAAAAAATGTCTGCAGTTCAAAGGTCACCCCGCTGCTACCGTGATTCTATTTATTCTGGACTAATATCAGCTTCCGCTAACAAATCATACCTGCAGGCAGAAGTCAGAACCGTTAGTGGCATTATTATAATGGTGTGATCAGTTCAGCGTGACCAGAAGCTGCACTTTCACTGAGCTCCCTGTTACACTGTTTACTTCCTGTTTGACGTCGGCAAACTGCCGCTGATTGGCGGGCGCTGCGAGTGCGCCACACTGCCATCTACTGGTGGGTAGATAGAATACATTTGGTATTAGAAAGCGATGATTTAGAAAGCTGACTTTGAAATACATTTTTTTTATGAATGTATCACACATTTCAGTTTATCGGGAAAGATAAAACAATAGAAATATCTAAATTATAATATAAACTTATTTTATTTAAGGATCTTATCAAATTTAAGAACTGCACATGTGATGTTCTATAAATACTATACACAATGCCTACATTGAAAAATAAAAATCAGTTTAAAAAGAGAGGAAAGTTATAACCTGAGAAGAAAATGTATTATATATTTTTTGTTCATAGTACTCTTAAAGCTATGCACATATCAATTTTTGGAGTGGTTCTGCGGAATAGTTTAGAACATAAAATTAAGCAAAGTAAAAATATTGCAAAATTGAAGAGAAAATGTTTGCAGAATATAAATAATATCTGTTAAAAAGAGAATGGGATACAATTTTATGATAGATAGATAGATAGATAGATAGATAGATAGATAGATAGATAGATAGATAGATAGATAGATAGATAGATAGATAGATAGATAGAT